CCCCCCCCCCCCCCCCCCCCTCAGGAAAAGATCATGTCTGTAGATTCATTGGATGTGGAAGAAATGACAGATTTAACTATGTCGTCATGCAGTTGCAGGTCAGTGTTTCAAGCAGAGGTCAAAGTTTGTTATGTGTTTTGGTTTGTTAGCCAAGCATGTATGAAAATACCAGTAAAATACAGAGGATGATAAATTAAAAAAAAAACCACCAAAGATCATGAACGCATAGTAGTGAGCAAACCTAAATTGAGCATATCCTTCTGTCTTTTGCCTTTGATATCCTTTCCATAATTCTCTCAACGGAGAAAGTTTACATCCTCAGAAAGATCTAATTATTGAAAGAGTGAACTGTGATGTCTTCTGAGATAATTAACAGTCTTTTGAAGTTTTCACTTGAAGATAGTCTAAAATATATTAGTCTGTGCATTTTGTTGGATTTTTTGATGAAAGTGAAAAAATAACCCTTTGCAAGTAAAAGAAAACATTTAAGTCACTTTTCATAAGAACAGGTCTTTCAGTAAAGGGATAAAATGGGTGATGGACACTTAAAATTATGGGATTATTGTCCTTTATTACTTGGAAAAAAAAAGTGTGCTCCACTTCATACTGTTGGTCTTCTGTTATTGTGTCAGATCAACAGTATGCATTTGCTGCGTAGTATATTTCTCACCTGTTAGGTTAAGTCATCTAAGATATACTGTATAATGCAATGAATGACATACTTTTCCTTAAAGTGGTGAGCATAAAGAAGTCTTTGTGAGTGTTCTCTCAGTGGCCTTTTTTCAGGCGTGACACAGATACAACATTAACTATAGGGCATGCGCTAGGCCTCTAATAGAGATGAGTTTGGTCCATGTTGCTTAGGAGTAGAAAGATACTAGGATTCATATTTTAGAATATACATTCTAAATTTAATGTTGGAGGTACTTGGAGACATATACTCATCACTGAGGTGAAATGTGTTATCTTTCACTATGAAAATAGGTATTGAGTGTATTCCATTGTTAACCATGAACAGCTAAAGGAGAAATAGGAAGACTTTACGCTATCTATGCACCTTGGTATTAGTATTTTCTAATGAAAACGTCCTTTTAATTTTATCAGGGTCGGAATTTGGCAGACCTGCGTCGGAGCCAGTCTCGAGGAACATTCACCATTAGTACCACTCTGCGGCTTGGGAAGCAGATTTTGGAATCTATTGAAAGTATTCATTCTGTGGGATTCCTGCACAGGGACATAAAACCGGTAAGTCTGTCCATTAATAGGCAAGTAATATGTTGCCATTAGATGACTGCATAAATAAGAATAGGTTCTATACTAGATGTTAAAACGAAAAAATGAAAGGCCAGAAAATCGAATGTTTATTTATCAGGTAGGGCAGATTTTTTTTCTATTAATTAATATTGGGTTGCAACAACTTTGGTCTTTGTCATCATTGCCTTCAGTTGCCTCCTTGCAATTTTCTGAGGTTAAAACTTCCAACTCTTACCTGTAGCATCATGCAATCAAGAGTATTTGCCATGAGGTATTATATAATGAGTTTGGCTAATGGCAATTAATATCTTCACATAATAAATCTAAGATAATAGATACTAACTAGGGTATATTTATAAGCTCTTCAGTAGCATTTTTTTTGAATTTAATATTTTTATAACAAGGAAAGAAAGAACAGACTGTATGAGAAAATTATTCAGTTGTTTTATTGTGCAATTCTAATAAAATGAGTGTTGTCAAATTGTCATGAGGAAAGTACCTATCTGATAGCATCATACTTCTGTTCTTATTATTTTTTAATTTTTCTTTGTATTTATTCCTGAAATTGGATAAGCTGTTTTTAATATTGCTCTATATTGAAAATATGATTAGAACTCTCAACTTTCACAGTTTGTAAATGAGGAAGAAATAAGCACATTTTGTGGTTTCTAATAGATGCAAATATGGCTGGTTATATCTGGCATATATTGCTAAATTTCCTGTCCAGCTGAATGATGTTAACATAAAATCTCTGATAAGTTTCTGTGCATTAGGGAATTTTCATTTTTCTGACTTCTTCTTTGCAACTTCTTATAAAACTTGTATTCTCCCTGACCTATCCCCAAGACTTCATTTAATATGGAAAGGACACAGAGGAGGCAGTGAATGTCAAGTGAAATAGGTGAGGAGTTAGTGGGAGTGCAAAATTTTAATGATGAAAACAATTCAAGTTTTGAATGGGAAATGTGTTCCTTTATGGCTAGCAGGATGTACTGGGGGCATGTTGTTATCTAGCTGTGTTTGGAGTCTGTGGGCTCAAATAGGATGGAAATGGAAAATGCTGTTAGGGGATGGAAAAAACCCAAAAGTTAAACGTTGAGCCAGGATAAACAGCAGTATGAGGCAATATATTAGATTCACAAAAGAATTTTTCTTCCCCTCTAGGAGTTACATTGTGACTTACACATGTAAAAGAAAGCATGATTGCTTTCTAGCACGCAGTTTTCCTGGCTTGAAAATACAAGTCTGTTTTATCTTTTTTAATGTATAGATTATAATAAAATCAAGTTTTGTGCTGAGCTGAAATCTTGAGATCCATGGGTGGTTATTTGCCTTGTGATGAATTAGGCAATGCTGAAATTCTGTTCCATTTAAAAATAATGTTGGTCACACTCATTTCAGTTCATGGTTTCGATTCGTTTTTACCCTCAACCTTTGACATTGAAGCAGCTGTGAATTTCATATTTATTTAGAACAGTACTGCTGTTTCACTTAACGAAAGAAGTAGTTTTTCTAGAGTTTATTATGTTAAGCTTCCAGCTTGCTCAGATGTATAGGTTCTACTCCGTTTCACAAAACTTGGTTTTAGCTTTATCTTTTTTTTTTTATATCATGTAATCCATTTTAAGGGGTTTTGGTGGGAGGAGACTTGAACTGATTCAGCAAACATGTTCAAATGTCATAAACTAGCAGTGTTAAGATTTTTTTTTTTTTTTTTTTTCTGAAGGGCTAACGTGGAATGTTAATCTGTAGGCAAATAAGAACATCTACTGAAGCTTTTCAGTATGAATTACCTCCATAACCCCTCACTGACTTTCCAGCTCTTACTGTTTTGTTGTTTTGAGGGGTTTTTTTTGAGGTTTTCTTTTTTTTTTTTTTTTTAAACCCTGGTTCTTCACCCTCTCATGAAGAGGAAAAGGCAGTTTGCACGACTTACTCTCTATTCTGCATGTATGATATTAATGTGTTTAGATGAACTTGTTAGCCTTTAGGTTGGTAGTTTTTTCAAATGTCCAAATCAAAATATGTGAGTGGGTGACATGATTGGAAAATTCTTGATAAAAATTAATATATTCTAAGTGATGAAGTAAGATGACTATCTCTTTGGACCACATAGGCTGCTGTTCAGATATGCGAAGTTGGATGTCTGATTTTCTTAACAACATTGTCTTCAAATTTAATGGGAGTCTAGTAGAACTGAAAATATGAAAGAAAGGATAAAGAAGTACAATATGGATTTTCTATGATTGTGTTACTGCATTAAGATGTGCATATATTGAAACGTGTGTGTGTATGTATCTATATAACTATCTGTATTTGTTTTTCTTCCTAGTCTAACTTTGCAATGGGACGTTTTCCTAGCACCTGTAGGAAGTGTTTTATGCTGGATTTTGGCTTGGCACGGCAATTTACCAACTCATGTGGGGATGTCAGACCAGTAAGACTTTTTCCACAGTTGTCAGTTTGTTTAATTGAATATGGTAATATGTTGTCTTTTTTCCTGGAGAAATACGGGGGTTGCACTGTACTGGTAACTGATCTAAACTTGACAAACATCATTCCAGATCAGAAATGCCATGTGACTTATTGATTATATTAAAAGTTTGACAGTTGGGAATGAATCAGGTTTCTGATTTTTGGCTTGAGGCAGAGGTGTAGTCTATGATATTTTTGGATAATCTGTCTTTTGGTTTGGAAAATCAACTGACAAGTAGGTTTTCATTAAATACCAGAGTAATACACCAGAGCTGAATTTCACTTGGTATTATATATTGCATTTTAAAAAAAAAAAATCTACATAGGAGAAAAAAGTCAAACACTAAGATGAATGTATAATCCTCTAAAAGAGAAAGTCTGAATAATTAAAACAGTGATAGAACACTAATTATAATGTATAACAGGACATAGTTAAGTGTAGTTGCTGTATTCCCATGTGATGCAGTCTGAAGGCAATTGTAGATAAAAGCGTATCAATGAGGATATTACAATTTTAAGTACAGTAAAGCCTCCCTAATTCACTGGCGGGCACTCCTTTTGTTAATTTAAAAGTTTGAACAAGTCAGTGCCATTGTACATGCTGATGTTTTAAAGAAACTTATTTTCTGTATTAAACTAGTTTAGTTTTCATTTTGATGGTAATACTGAATAATGTACTAGTCAGTATTGTGTAGCATATTTATTAATGTGATATGATTTGAGTGGTAGAAGCCATCTCTACAGGATTTTCAATTTTATTTTGCCTAAGAAGTTGGGAAAGTGGCAAATTTTTGTGTGCAAATTATGAGGTATGTGAATTAGTAAGGTAAATTAGCGGGGTTCTGCTGTACTCTATTCCTTCAGCCATAATGCTGGACACTGCAATGAAAGCAAAGAGCAAGGGAGACCAACAGAGTGGCTGATGCTGTTGGAAAGGTGAGCTGAATATTTTAAGTAGTTTGAAAATTTTTTTTTTTTTTAATTTCTTGGTGTTCTTGTCATGTTTTGTATGTCTGGCTGCTTCTAATGTTTTTCTAACTGGCCTGTAATTTCAAAAAGAAAACAATTCCCAAGATTCTGTAATTTATATTTATACACACACCAATGTTAGTATTTTCAGGAAAAGTAGTTGATAACAACAGAAAATTTAATATTTCTGCTATTCTTTCTTTTGTAGCAACTCAGCTCTTGCCTTTTGTTTTTCATTGCAGTGCCCTACAATGTAACTGAAGTAATTCTTCAATTTAATCTGTTTAGAATTTTCTGATAGTGTAACCCTTATTAGTAGAGTGGCAGTGAGGGGAAAGAAAAGACAGTAGTTTTATTTGTACTTAATAGTCAGAAATGGCTCTTGTATAGATAGCATACTGTTGGCCTTGCTTACTAATAAAATTTATTAATATTTTCATTAAATGTGCTATGTGCTTCTCCTTAAGGCTATCCTTCTTCTAAACTTCATTAGATTTCTTCAGCAGATACTGCAAATAACCTGGAACAATGTAAAAGTGTGTTCTCCAAAAACCATAGTACTCTGTTGATAGGAACCTGTTCTTTAGTTAAGGTTGATTATTAGATTTTTATCATAAACCTACTTTTCTATATACCTAACTTCTGCATAAAGAATCCAGTGCCATTGAGATTTTGCATATCATCCCTGAGTCCTTGAGTTTCCATGATGTATTCTAAAAGACTCAGAAGAGAAGTTTCAGGAATTATAGTATCGGGTTTTAGTCTTCTGGCAGCTTTGTATTTCCCCCAACATTAAGGATTCCCTGGCGGACATAAATCTGTTTGTTCAACTCAAAAAAAATGGAAGAGGCTTATATGGATATGGTTGAAAGCAGAAAAGTCTGACAGGACTGTATTTCCCTCCAGAAATCATTGGCCAGCACCACTGGCTAGCATATACATTCCAACAGATGGAGATAAAAAATTGAGTTAGCTTCAAGACTGGTAGAGAAGAGTCTTGTGTAGTTCTTTGGCAAAATGCAACTTAGACTGGCAAGGGAGTTGAAACTAAAAGGCAATTACAAGAATAAATTATCATTGGTTTTCTAGTATGTCTTCTTGTTAATATAGATAGTACTCACTTGACTGAAGTTCACACAAGAAGTTGAGAAGAGGTCCTTATAGTCAGGAAGAGTGCTTTATTTTCTGCAATCAGGTCAAGAAGCAAAGAGGAAATGAGAAATTTTATCAAAACATTAAGCTACCCAACGTTAGACTCTTAGTCAATTCCAGTATGTTGTACCAAGACAGAGGAATGCAGCAGAGTTTCATACAATTTCAGTGTGATAAGGAGTTCTTGTTCTGGATATGTTTATAAAAAGAAGAATTATATAACTTGGGAGTCCATGGTTTATTCCACTTGATTGAAGTACATGCTGGTGGATACTGTTCATCCATTCGGACCCTTCTGCATTTCTGTTAAAGCCTGTGCTTATTCCAGTCTGAATCTTTTGTTTTGTCTCTCCTCTTGGGTTTCCTTTCTACATCCACCTCCTCATATTGCTTCAGTTCCAGTTAGACTAATTTCTCTTCTCCTGGCAGTTTTGGTGCCCACTGGAATAGTACAATACGACTAAGTGAAATTTTCTTTGCTCTCAGTTTCCTTTCTTTGCACCATAATGAAACCTGAAAGCATTCTGAAGGAGTGAAAGAAAAGATAAACACTGCCACCCAACTTGGTGTCGTCTGCAAACTTACAGAGGGTGCACTCGATCCCCTCATCTAGATCATCAAGATGTTAAACAGGAGCGGCCCCAAAACCGAGCCCTGGTGGACACCACTCATGACCAGCTGTCAGCTGGATTTAACTCCATTCACCACAAGTCTTTGGGCCCGGCCATCCAGCCATTTTTTTACCCAGTGAAGTGTGTGCCCATCCAAGTCTCAAGCAGTCAGTTTCACCAGGAAAATGCTGTGGGAAACAGTGTCAAAGGCCTTGCTAAAATCAAGGCAAGCAACATCCACAGCCTTTCCCTCACCCAGTAAGTAGGTCGCCCTGTTGTAAAAGGTTTGTCAAGCAGGACCTGCCTTTCATAAACCCATGCTGACTGGGCCTGAGCATCTGGTTGTCCTGCACATGTTGTGTGATGGTACTTGGGATGATCTGCTCCATCAGCTTTCCAGGCAACGAAGTCAAGCTGACAGGCCTGTTATTTTTCAGATCATCCTTCTGACCCTTCTTATAGATGGGCGTCACATTGGCCAATTTCCAATCGGTCGGGACCTCCCTGGTCAGCCAGGAGTGCTGGGAAATGATGGAAAGCAGCTTGGTGAGCACCCCAGTCAGCTCCTTCAGCACCCTCGGGTGTATCCCATCCAGTCCCATAGACTTCTGTGTGTCTGTGTGATGCAGTAGGTCACTGACTGTCTCCTCCTGGATTGTGGGGGAGTTTCTCCCAGTCTCTGTCTTCTGGCTGAGGAGGCTGGATTCCCTCAGTACAACTAATCTTGTTATTGAAGACTGAGGCAAAGAAGGCATTAAGCAACTCAGCTTTTACTTTATCACTCGTTGCCATGTTTCCTGCTGTGTCTAGCAGGGGATGGAGGCTCTCCCTGGTCTTGCTTTTGCTGTTGACCTATTTATAGAAACATTCCTTGTTATCCGTGACTGCTGAAGTCAGATTAATTTCCAGCTGGGCTTTAGAGCTCCAGATTTCTGCCCTGCATGTCCTCACAGCCTCTTTGTAATCACTGTGAGTGGCTAGCCCCTTCTTCCAAAGGCCATAAACTCTCCTTTTTCTCTCTGAGTTGTGGCCAAAGCTCCCTGTTCAGCCAGGGTGGTCTCTGTCACAGGCTTCTCTTACAGCCCCTGGGGACAGCCTGCTCCTGTGCCATTAACACTTCCTTCTTGAAGAGTGCCCAGCCTTCCTGGGCCCCTATACCCTTCAGGACCATCTCCCAAGGGATTCTGTCAAGCAGTTGCCTAAACAATTCATAGTCAGCCCTTTGGATGTCAGTTCTGTTGCCCCCTCTCCTGACCTCTCTAAGAATAGATAACTCTTATTATTTCATGATTGCTGTGCCCTAGTCAGCCTCCAACTGCCACATCATCCACCAGTCCTTCTTTGTTCACAAAGAGGAGATTCAGCAGGGCACCTTCTCTTGTTTGTTCACTCACCAGCTGTGTCAGGAAGTTATCTTCCACACATTCCAGGATTCAAACAGGGCTCTATTGAATTTGTGTAAAATTTAGTTTTCAAAAGCTCAGGCATAATCAGGTTTGGATAGCTAGCAGAAGATTCCTTGACGTCATCATGGTACGCTCTCAAATTCCTCCTCCTTGTCTGTCTTAATTCCAAGGCACACTGGGGATATAGGCTTCCTACATATTATTGTGGGAGTTAATAAACAAAACAAACATTTGTTTCAGCTGCATTCAAGAAAAATTTGAAATAATTTGCTGAATTAAAAGCAAGCAGCTACAAAAAGAGTCATCTAACATGAAGAATTTCAGCTTAAGTATGCAGAAGGTTTCAAGTGGCTGAATGCAGGATCTTACACAGAAAGTAGTGGCCAGTGTTTAAGTATAGATTTTACTTCAGGTGCCATATATAATATGTTGGCTGTGAAGTTCACAGACAGCAGTGCTAATGAGTCAAAAAATTTTGATGACATTCCAGCAATATTGCAATATAAAATGTTTACATTTTAAAGTAGAAATGAAGGTTTATTCAGATTAGAGAACTTAAATTTTTTCATACCATCTGTAATAATTAATTTTTTGTTTCACATTGTTATTGCAGTAGTTACCAAACGTACCTGATTTCATTACAGAAAATGCATTGATGACATAGACACTTCCCTAGCATGGACTTGGTTCTCCCTTATCTTTCTGTGGTGTGTAGACCCATTCTGAACGTTAGTTTCTTCATGTGTACTTACCTGTCTATGGTACTCCAAATCACAGCCTATGGAACGAAGTCTCCCACACATCATATTAATTTAATTGCAGGG